TAGTGTGATAAACTCACTGTAATGCACAGCCTATCGTGGCTTATTGCTTTATTATTTTATTTTTATTTTACCTTTATATAACCAGGCTAACTCACATTGAGATTAAAATCTATTTTAAAAGGGAGGCCTGGCCAAGAAGACAGCTCACAAAACAATCAGCAGAGAAACTATTTATAACACTATTTGTAACACATCATGTTAACAATTCATAATGCATAATAAGCAGGGCTACGTGCATTTTAACAACATTTATAGCCGTATTTATAATGTTTTTAATGCATTATAATAGATGTGGTATTTACAGAAAGTGAACAATATCAAACCAGCCTAGGGCAGATCTGACATGCAGCACACGTTCAAACACTCTGCTGTACTACAGTGTGTTTTTATCGATGTTTAGAGCTGATTCGTTTATAAGAGAGAGTAAATGTAGCACTGATAACTAGCGTCTTAGTTAAAGCAGCTAATTTCCTCTCACAGCCCAGTTTATACAAAAATGTTCCCTTTTTTCTCCCTTTTTTATTGAGTGTTCACTTAAAAAAAACAAAAAACAGGGACTGTGCCTCACCCACAATACATTAATATGATAATTAGCATAGCACATTAACAAGGGTTACAGGGCAGGAAACAAACAAAGCAGAAAAACATCAGTGTCTGAGCGCAGAAACACGCTCTGGTGGTAATTTAGTGGATAAACAGCCTTGTTCTGGCCTCTTTCATCCAGCCAAATGTAAATGAGCTTAAAACCACGCTAAGAGGCCAACAGCGCTGGTAATTATCCCAACTTACAAAAATTTCCCCCCAAACCCCACAAAAATAAGCTTTAAAAACTTCTCTTAGCAACGATTTACCGTTTGTAATGTTTGGGAAATAAATAAATGCCCTCCTGTTCGGAATAAACAATGCGGTCCCCAGCTGGCGCCTCGCCGGAATCTTTTAATCATTTTATCTTTGAGCTGTTTGCGCCCTCCCGCCTGCTGCTGCGCTTAAGAGAAAAGCGCTCGCTTTGAGTTTTCGCTCTTATCCGAGCTGAGGATGCGCATTCGAGCCAAGTTAGAACAGACCGGGCGAGCCCTACAGCGGCAATTAACGGGGAATTTATTAGCGTACATATGGGGGACGGGACGGGACGGGACGGGGGCGTGAAGAGAGGCTGAGGAAGCTCTCCGTTTAACAAGTAAAACTCATTTGGAAGGCGTAGATATTTCTTAATGAGGTCCACAGGAGGATTGGAGCGACGAACAGCCTCTCACTGTATACATCTGATCAAATATCCGATTTAAAGTAGGCGCACAGAGCTCTGCCAATTCATTTAAAGCGTCCATAGCTAGAAAATCAAATTGTTTGTGCTTTATTGAAATGAAATACTAAAAAAGATCCGCCTGCTCTCAATTTATATCAGGTGTGATGTCACTATATGACCACCCATTCAGCCTACAGCAATGTAACCCCACCCATGTAGCCTATAGCAGTGTAACCCCACCCATGTAGTCTATAGCAGTGTAAACCCACCCATTCAGCCTACAGCAATGTAACCCCACCCATGTAGTCTATAGCAGTGTAAACCCAACCATGTAGTCTATAGCAGTGTAAACCCAACCATGTAGTCTATAGCAGTGTAAACCCAACCCATGTAGTCTATAGCAGTGTAAACCCACCCATGTAGTCTATAGCAGTGTAAACCCACCCATGTAGTCTATAGCAGTGTAAACCCAACCATGTAGTCTATAGCAGCGTAACCCCACCCATGTAGCCTATAGCAGTGTAAACCCACCCATGTAGTCTATAGCAGTGTAAACCCAACCATGTAGTCTATAGCAGTGTAAACCCAACCATGTAGCCTATAGCAGCGTAACCCCACCCATGTAGTCTATAGCAGTGTAAACCCAACCATGTAGCCTATAGCAGTGTAAACCAAACCTTTCAGTCTACAGCAGTTTAGCTCCACCCATTCAGCCAACAGCAGCTTAGCTCCACCCATTCAGCCTACAGCAGTGTAACCCCACCCACGTAGCCTACAGCAGTGTAACTCCACCCATTCAGCCAACAGCAGCTTAGCTCCACCCATTCAGCCTACAGCAGTGTAACCCCACCCACGTAGCCTATAGCAGTGTAACCCCACCCATGTAGCCTATAGCAGTTTAGCCCCACCCATTCAGCCTACAGCAGTTTAGCCCCACCATTCAGCTACAGCAGTTTAGCTCCACCATTCAGCTACAGCAGTTTAGCTCCACCATTCAGCTACAGCAGTATAGCGTCACCTGATCCTGAAGTGATATGGAGTGTTGTTACTGCAGACAGGGTCATTGAGTGGAAAGTGTGAGCAAATGAGTAGACGTTGTGCTATTCCTGACTGTCGGGAAGCAAATCATCACTGAAAGCCTTCTAAAGGAACCAAACAACTGATGAAGAGCAGCTGAAGTTCCTGAAGTGCAGGTTCCTAAGGGTTTAGTACCTGTGTAATCTAACCCTGACGTTCACCTTCTCATCATCCACGCTCACCTTGAGGTCACTCCCATTGAGGCGCATTCTGTTTATCCTGCGTCCACTCGGCCTGCTCGTATCAATCCAGAAGATCAGCTCCTTCCTGTAGTCGAAGTCTAGAGAGAGAACGTTACTGAGACCCTGCAGAGAGAGAGACAGAGAGAGAGAGAAAGAAAAGAAAAAGTTAGACAGAGAAAGAACGAAAACCAGTAGAGATAAAAAGAGAAGAGACAGAGAGAGAAAGCGAGAGAGAGACCGTTATTAAAAAAGCCATAAGCCACACAATAAAAACACCGTAATGATCTTTAACCATTTAAAATTCATATCTGCTGATGATCTAATTGCCTCGTTTCTCCAATAACACAACATTCTACCCTGCAGGTCATTAACTCAGTGACCAACATCTATCAAAACCTTCTAACTGAGCCAGTAATGACCCACGGCCTGTTTGATCAGATCACAGCGCAGTTTCTGATAAACAGACTGCAGTACCGGAGCATGGAGCCTGTACATCACGGTGGCCTTTGTTTTGTACCTGCATTAAAGCGACAGTTTGGCTTTTTGATTTTACCTGATTTGCTCCCTGATTTAGCATCCAGACCCACCACTATCACACAACACTACCTTGTGCTTTGAATAACTGGCCACTTTATTAGAAACACTCACCTTGTGCTTCCACTACCTGGCCAATTTATTGGAAACATCTACACTGTGCCTTGACTAACTGGCCACTTTATTAGAAACACCCACCTTGTGCTTCCACTCACTGGCCACTTTACTAGAAACAACTATCTTGTGCACTAACTGGCCACTTTATTGGAATCACCTACTTTCTACTTCTTCTAACTGGCCACTTTATTAGAAACACCCACCTTGTACTTCCACTATTTGGCCTCTTTATTAGAAACACCCACATTCTACTTCCACTAACTGGCCACTTTATTAGAAACATCTAACTTGTGCTTTCACTTACTGGCCACTTTATTAGAAACACCCACATTCTACTTCCACTAACTGGCCACTTTATTAGAAACACTCACCTTGTACTTCCACTATTTGGCCTCTTTATTAGAAACACCCACATTCTACTTCCACTAACTGGCCACTTTATTAGAAACTCCTTCCTTCTAGCTCCACTATATATGAGTATCACTGTAATATGAGTCGAGGTTTTAATTTAAAGCCTCTTTTTGATTAAAAAGATGTTTTAGGATCCTAAAATCTGCTCATGCTGCTGATGTCAGCGTCTCTCCGATACTGATGATGAAAATGTGAGTCTCCATATGCCGGAACATTTTATTAAAGCAGGACACACAAAGTTAGAGAGACCCCGCAGGCAGTAAAGTGAAGCTCTGGAAGCTCTCGGTGTCTCTAATGAGGCTGATCTGAGATCAGTGGCTCTCGGCCCATCTGTCCGTAACGCTGATGAAAGCCAGAGAGGGGAGGAGACGCTGCAGCGTTATGGTCATGTTTTAAGAAGCAGTGGTCTTACCTGCTTCAGGAGGGTGTAGTTTGACCCGTCCAGGCTGATCTTTCTGATCTCATGATGGTCAGCCAGAATCAGAAACGGCTCCTCCGCTGGACGCAAAAGAGAGAGAAAAGAAACACATGGTTCAAAAGGACCTTTACCTTTTGAAAAACATGATCAATCAGATGTTTCAAGTTCAAAACCTCTCCTTTGTTTACGTTGGCACGAAATGCTTTTGTGTACCTGTGATGGCTCTGCAGCTGTGCGGGTCAGCGTCCACTCTTTGGTATCCGTCCACACACAGGCACTTGAACGAGCCGTACGTGTTGATGCACTGCTGGCTGCAGGGGAAACTCTCCACACACTCGTCCACGTCCACACACGTCCGTCCATCCGCCTTCAGACGGAAACCCGGCCAGCACGTGCACTACACAGCAAAGTCGGACAACGAGAAATTACAGGGAGGAGAACGAGTGAGGAAACAGTCTGGATGGGGGAGGGCATGAATAGAGAGGGGCGTGGCTATTCAAATATATGTAGCTGGGTACCAGGTGGGAAAATACTGGGTTTGGGTGTGGCTATGCAAATACATGTGGGAGAGTGCCAAGTCTGATAACATTAATGATGGGCGTGGCCATTCAAATATACAATGCTGGGAGACATTAATGATGGACATGGCTATTATAATATAAGTGGCTGGATAACAAGTTGGAAAATACCGAGGATGGGCGTGGCTATTCAAATTTATGGGCAATGGAAGGCGTGGAAAAATGGCAGGTGTGGCCAAGGCCATGCAAATATATGTGGGAGGGGAATGAGTCAGGAATACATTAATGAAAGTATGGTCATTCAAATATATTGGGGAGGGGAATGAGTAGGAAAACAATAGAGATGGGCGTGGCCATTCAAATATATGCAGAAAAATAATGTGCGCTGCTATTCTCTGCAGACTGATGGAGAATGTGTTGTATATGGTTCTATAAAGCACCTAAAAGGGTTCTGCTATCGTGACAATGTCAAGCTGGTAACAGCTGGAGAACTCTTCAATCAAATCCTCACAGCAATGTTCCACCATCTAGCGTAAAGCTTCCCAGAAGAGTAGAGGCTGTTACTGCAGCACAGACTCACTATTAAGACCTTCATTTTAGAAGAATGTCTAGATAATCATTTTGTCCGAAAATGAATTCCACCTAAAAAACTTAAATATTAAATATTTAATCATTTTGATAAAATAACTTCTATTAATGACTCTAACGAAGGTGAGCTGGTTGTGGCAGAGCTGTGGAGGTTTAGCTGTGATAGTGACGGAGAGGAATGAGGTGAAATTCCAGCTCGGGCTGACAGCAGCAGCAGCAGAGTGTCCTTGGCTGTTTGAAGGTGTCTGAAAGTCGGAGTGTCACACGGCAGCCGTATCCGCGGTGACACGTGCCAAACTAGCCTGTCCTACCTGCCAGTCTCCCTCCAATCATACACTCCGCCTGTGTGTGTGTGTGTGTGTGTCAGAGCAGACTGTCCCAGCTGTCAGGCGGTCCGCTATTCACCAAAACAACAGCCCCCTCAATCCCTCTCTCACTGCTGCTGCTGTGTTCGGTTCATATGAGCTAAAGCTGATACAGTAAACAGCGTTAAATCCACGAGGAACTGCTTAGGAAACAATTCCATAAGAAAGGTGAACCCTGATTGGACGATCCTTTTGTTTACGCCCACTCCAGGAGATTGGAGTTTGAGGAGCGTGAAGAAGTTTCATTATCACTCTGGGAGCTTGTATGTGTCCAGATCCAGGAAGGAAATATAAATTTGTGTCACTGCTGTCCAGATCGGGGATAATGATGCTTCTCCTGACCGCAGTGCTGAGAAAACTGCAGCATCTGCCAGCAGCATCAATCTCAACAGGCAACCAGCTCAAAAAGACCACCGTACACACAACACAACTCAAACACAACACAACGACCAGCTAAAACTACTCTACACTCAACACAACTCAAACACAACACAACGACCAGCTAAAACTACTCTACACTCAACACAACTCAAACACAATATAACGACCAGCTAAAACCACTCTACACTCAACACAACTCAAACACAACACAACGACCAGCTAAAACCACTCTACACACTCAACACAACTCAAACACGACACAACGACCGGCTAAAACCACTCTACACTCAACACAACTCAAACACAACACAACGACCGGCTAAAACCACTCTACACACTCAACACAACTCAAACACAACACAACGACCAGCTAAAACTACTCTACACACTCAACACAACTCAAACACAACACAACGACCGGCTAAAACCACTCTACACACTCAACACAACTCAAACACAACACAACGACCGGCTAAAACCACTCTACACACTCAACACAACTCAAACACAACACAACGACCGGCTAAAACCACTCTACACACTCAACACAACTCAAACACAACACAACGACCGGCTAAAACCACTCTACACTCAACACAACTCAAACACAACACAACGACCAGCTAAAACCACTCTACACACTCAACACAACTCAAACACAACACAACGACCAGCTAAAACCACTCTACACTCAACACAACTCAAACACAACACAACGACCAGCTAAAACCACTCTACACACTCAACACAACTCAAACACAACACAAGGACCAGCTAAAACCACTCTACACTCAACACAACTCAAACACAACACAACAACCAGCTAAAACCACTCTACACTCAACACAACTCAAACACGACACAACGACCAGCTAAAACCACTCTACACTCAACACAACTCAAACACGACACAACAACCAGCTAAAACCACTCTACACTCAACACAACTCAAACACAACACAACGACCAGCTAAAACCACTCTACACTCAACACAACTCAAACACAACACAACGACCAGCTAAAGCCACTCTACACTCAACACAACTCAAACACAACACAACGACCAGCTAAAACCACTCTACACACTCAACACAACTCAAACACGACACAACGACCAGCTAAAACCACTCTACACACTCAACACAACTCAAACACGACACAACGACCAGCTAAAACCACTCTACACACTCAACACAACTCAAACACGACACAACGACCAGCTAAAACCACTCTACACTCAACACAACTCAAACACAACACAACGACCAGCTAAAACCACTCTACACACTCAACACAACTCAAACACAACACAAGGACCAACTAAAACCACTCTACACTCAACACAACTCAAACACGACACAATGACCGGCTAAAACCACTCCACATTCAACACAACTCAAACACGACACAACGACCGGCTAAAACTACTCTACACTCAACACAACTCAAACACAACACAACGACCGGCTAAAACCACTCTACACACTCAACACAACTCAAACACAACACAAGGACCAACTAAAACCACTCTACACTCAACACAACTCAAACACGACACAATGACCGGCTAAAACCACTCTACACTCAACACAACTCAAACACAACACAAGGACCAACTAAAACCACTCTACACACTCAACACAACTCAAACACAACACAAGGACCAACTAAAACCACTCTACACACTCAACACAACTCAAACACAACGACCAGCTAAAACCACTCTACACTCAACACAACTCAAACACGACACAACGACCGGCTAAAACCACTCTACACACTCAACACAACTCAAACACAACGACCAGCTAAAACCACTCTACACTCAACACAACTCAAACACAACGACCAGCTAAAACCACTCTACACTCAACACAACTCAAACACGACACAACGACCGGCTAAAACCACTCTACACACTCAACACAACTCAAACACAACGACCAGCTAAAACCACTCTACACACTCAACACAACTCAAACACAACGACCAGCTAAAACTACTCTACACTCAACACAACTCAAACACGACACAACGACCAGCTAAAACCACTCTACACACTCAACACAACTCAAACACAACGACCAGCTAAAACCACTCTACACACTCAACACAACTCAAACACAACACAACGACCGGCTAAAACCACTCTACACACTCAACACAACTCAAACACAACACAAGGACCAACTAAAACCACTCTACACTCAACACAACTCAAACACGACACAATGACCGGCTAAAACCACTCTACACTCAACACAACTCAAACACAACACAAGGACCAACTAAAACCACTCTACACTCAACACAACTCAAACACAACACAAGGACCAACTAAAACCACTCTACACACTCAACACAACTCAAACACAACGACCAGCTAAAACCACTCTACACTCAACACAACTCAAACACGACACAACGACCGGCTAAAACCACTCTACACACTCAACACAACTCAAACACAACGACCAGCTAAAACCACTCTACACTCAACACAACTCAAACACAACGACCAGCTAAAACCACTCTACACTCAACACAACTCAAACACGACACAACGACCGGCTAAAACCACTCTACACACTCAACACAACTCAAACACAACGACCAGCTAAAACCACTCTACACACTCAACACAACTCAAACACAACGACCAGCTAAAACTACTCTACACTCAACACAACTCAAACACGACACAACGACCAGCTAAAACCACTCTACACACTCAACACAACTCAAACACAACGACCAGCTAAAACCACTCTACACACTCAACACAACTCAAACACAACACAACGACCAGCTAAAACCACTCTACACTCAACAGAACTCAAACACAACGACCGGCTAAAACCACTCTACACACTCAACACAACTCAAACACAACACAACGACCAGCTAAAACCACTCTACACTCAACACAACTCAAACACAACACAACGACCAGCTAAAACTACTCTACACTCAACACAACTCAAACACAACACAACGACCAGCTAAAACCACTCTACACTCAACACAACTCAAACACAACACAACGACCAGCTAAAACTACTCTACACTCAACACAACTCAAACACGACACAACGACCAGCTAAAACCACTCTACACTCAACACAACTCAAACACAACACAACGACCGGCTAAAACCACTCTACACTCAACACAACTCAAACACAACACAACGACCAGCTAAAACTACTCTACACTCAACACAACTCAAACACAACACAACGACCGGCTAAAACCACTCTACACTCAACACAACTCAAACACGACACAACGACCGGCTAAAACCACTCCACACTCAACACAACTCAAACACAATATAACGACCAGCTAAAACCACTCTACACACTCAACACAACTCAAACACAACACAACGACCAGCTAAAACTACTCTACACTCAACACAACTCAAACACAATATAACGACCAGCTAAAACCACTCTACACACTCAACACAACTCAAACACAACACAACGACCAGCTAAAACCACTCTACACACTCAACACAACTCAAACACAACACAACAACCAGCTAAAACCACTCTACACACTCAACACAACTCAAACACAACACAACAACCAGCTAAAACCACTCTACACACTCAACACAACTCAAACACAACACAACGACCAGCTAAAACCACTCTACACACTCAACACAACTCAAACACAACACAACGACCAGCTAAAACTACTCTACACTCAACACAACTCAAACACAATATAACGACCAGCTAAAACCACTCTACACACTCAACACAACTCAAACACAACACAACGACCAGCTAAAACCACTCTACACTCAACACAACTCAAACACAACACAAGGACCAGCTAAAACCACTCTACACTCAACACAACTCAAACACGACACAATGACCGGCTAAAACCACTCTACACTCAACACAACTCAAACACGACACAACGACCGGCTAAAACCACTCTACACTCAACACAACTCAAACACAACACAACGACCGGCTAAAACCACTCTACACACTCAACACAACTCAAACACGACACAACGACCAGCTAAAACCACTCTACACACTCAACACAACTCAAACACAACACAACGACCAGCTAAAACCACTCTACACTCAACACAACTCAAACACGACACAACGACCAGCTAAAACCACTCTACACTCAACACAACTCAAACACGACACAACGACCGGCTAAAACCACTCTACACTCAACACAACTCAAACACGACACAACGACCGGCTAAAACCACTCTACACTCAACACAACTCAAACACGACACAACGACCGGCTAAAACCACTCTACACTCAACACAACTCAAACACAACACAACGACCGGCTAAAACCACTCTACACTCAACACAACTCAAACACAACACAACGACCAGCTAAAACCACTCTACACTCAACACAACTCAAACACAACGACCAGCTAAAACCACTCTACACTCAACACAACTCAAACACAACACAACGACCAGCTAAAACCACTCTACACTCAACACAACTCAAACACAACGACCAGCTAAAACCACACTACACTCAACACAACTCAAACACGACACAACGACCGGCTAAAACCACTCCACACTCAACACAACTCAAACACGACACAACGACCAGCTAAAACCACTCTACACTCAACACAACTCAAACACAACACAACGACCAGCTAAAACTACTCTACACTCAACACAACTCAAACACGACACAACGACCAGCTAAAACCACTCTACACTCAACACAACTCAAACCCAACACAACGACCAGCTAAAACCACTCTACACTCTACACAACTCAAACACGACACAACAACCAGCTAAAACCACTCTACACACTCAACACAACTCAAACACAACACAACAACCAGCTAAAACCACTCTACACACTCAACACAACTCAAACACAACACAACGACCAGCTAAAACCACTCTACACACTCAACACAACTCAAACACAACACAACGACCAGCTAAAACTACTCTACACTCAACACAACTCAAACACAATATAACGACCAGCTAAAACCACTCTACACACTCAACACAACTCAAACACAACACAACGACCAGCTAAAACCACTCTACACACTCAACACAACTCAAACACAACACAGCGACCAGCTAAAACCACTCTACACACTCAACACAACTCAAACACAACACAGCGACCAGCTAAAACCACTCTACACTCAACACAACTCAAACACAACACAACGACCAGCTAAAACCACTCTACACACTCAACACAACTCAAACACAACACAACGACCGGCTAAAACCACTCTACACTCAACACAACTCAAACACAATATAACGACCAGCTAAAACCACTCTACACACTCAACACAACTCAAACACGACACAATGACCAGCTAAAACCACTCTACACACTCAACACAACTCAAACACAACACAACAACCAGCTAAAACCACTCTACACACTCAACACAACTCAAACACAACACAACGACCAGCTAAAACCACTCTACACTCAACACAACTCAAACACAACACAACGACCAGCTAAAACCACTCTACACACTCAACACAACTCAAACACAACACAAGGACCAGCTAAAACCACTCTACACTCAACACAACTCAAACACGACACAACGACCGGCTAAAACCACTCTACACTCAACACAACTCAAACACGACACAACGACCGGCTAAAACCACTCTACACTCAACACAACTCAAACACGACACAACGACCGGCTAAAACCACTCTACACACTCAACACAACTCAAACACGACACAACGACCAGCTAAAACCACTCTACACTCAACACAACTCAAACACGACACAACGACCAGCTAAAACCACTCTACACTCAACACAACTCAAACACGACACAACGACCGGCTAAAACCACTCTACACTCAACAGAACTCAAACACGACACAACGACCAGCTAAAACCACTCTACACTCAACACAACTCAAACACAACACAACGACCGGCTAAAACCACTCTACACTCAACAGAACTCAAACACAACGACCGGCTAAAACCACTCTACACACTCAACACAACTCAAACACAACACAACGACCAGCTAAAACCACTCTACACTCAACACAACTCAAACACACCGACCAGCTAAAACCACTCTACACTCAACACAACTCAAATACACCGACCAGCTAAAACCACTCTACACTCAACACAACTCAAACACAACACAACGACCGGCTAAAACCACTCCACACTCAACACAACTCAAACACGACACAACGACCAGCTAAAACCACTCTACACTCAACACAACTCAAACACAACACAACGACCAGCTAAAACCACTCTACACACTCAACACAACTCAAACACGACACAACGACCAGCTAAAACCACTCTACACTCAACACAACTCAAACACAACACAACGACCAGCTAAAACCACTCTACACTCTACACAACTCAAACACGACACAACAACCAGCTAAAACCACTCTACACACTCAACACAACTCAAACACAACACAACGACCAGCTAAAACCACTCTACACACTCAACACAACTCAAACACAACACAGCGACCAGCTAAAACCACTCTACACTCAACACAACTCAAACACAACACAACAACCAGCTAAAACCACTCTACACTCAACACAACTCAAACACAACACAACGACCAGCTAAAACCACTCTACACTCAACACAACTCAAACACAACACAACGACCAGCTAAAACCACTCTACACACTCAACACAACTCAAACACAACACAGCGACCAGCTAAAACCACTCTACACTCAACACAACTCAAACACAACACAGCGACCAGCTAAAACCACTCTACACTCAACACAACTCAAACACAACACAGCGACCAGCTAAAACCACTCTACACTCAACACAACTCAAACACGACACAACGACCGGCTATAATAATGACTGAATGAAAGTATTAATAATGACTCTATGAAAGCCGTAATGACAATTAATGCACTATTAATGACTTTATGAACGTGTTATTAATGACTGTATGAACGTGTTATTAATGACTGTATGAACGTGTTATTAATGACCGAATGAACATACCTTGTACCCTACAGGCATGTCCTGACAGTCCTGTGAGCAGCCGCTGACTCGGCGATTCAAACACTCGTTAACTCCGCAGTTCCACTCGTCTGATTGGTCACCGCAGTCGTCACGGTGATCACACACACTGCCCAGCGGGACGCAGCGGCCATTGGCACACATGAAAACCGACCCATTGCACAAACTTTCTAAAACACACACACACGGACAAAAGATATGAGAAACGGGTTCAAAACATATTTATTCATGTGTTATTATAATGCTATTAAAGTGTAATAACACAAAGAAATAACGAAGTCAGGAATATAGATGAAGCGCTGGACTAACAATTGAGTACACTGCTCATCAAGTTTTTTAGGGCATCTGAGGAAATCATGTTTCTTGTTGGTTTTCCATAAATAAATAACAATAACAGAAATATATTTAATAAATATCTTAAACACTAAAGATACAGTGTGCCGCTCTGTCGGCTGATATATGAGAGAATGAATTAGATGAAAGAAAACATGAAGCTGTGAGGGCAACTACCTTTGGCAAACCAACACCCACACACACACACACACACACACACACACACACACACACACACACTGCAGTACGCTGTGTTTCTTGCCATCAAAGCAGAAACTGGAAGGTAAAAACACAGCAGCGCTGGAGAGCAGCGTGAGTGCTGAGCCTCCAGAGAGAAACAGAGAGGGAGAAACAGGTGTTACTACAAATCCCAGAAGGCCCTGGGGTGCTGGGACCTGTCAATCAAACAGGTACAGAGAGAGAGAGGCCTTGCCTGCGGCGGAGCACTTGGGGTTCAGTGGCGGCTCGTCTGATTGGTCGAGACAGTCGGGGAAACCATCACACTCCCATTGGGCGCTGGGTAAACACCGCCCATCTGTACAGCGAAACTCAGCCTCTAAACACACACGGTAGTCTAGTGGGAGAGAGAGAGAGAGAGAGAGAGAGAGAAGAGAGAAAGAGAGAGAGAGAGAGAAAGAGAGAGAGAGAGAGAGAGAGAGAGAGAGAGAGAGAGAGAAAAGACTAATTAACTCACTCTCCCATTAGCCCCATGACTCACTCGCTCACCTCTTCACTCCCTCACTCAACCCGTCACTTACTCACTCCACTACTCCTTCAAACACATACTCACTCATTTGCTCCCTCTACATTAGTTGTGTAACTTCATAGGCAGTGTCAGTAGGGTAACCACACAGACAGTGTCAGTAGTGTAACCACATGGGCAGCGCTAGCAGTGTAACCGCACAGGCAACGTCAGAAGTGTAACCGCACAGCCAGTGTCATTAGGGTAACTGCACAGACAGTGTCAGCAGTGTAACCACAAAGGCAGTGTTAGGAGTATAACTGCACAGTCAGTGTCAGTAGTGCAACTGCACAGACAGCGTCAGATACGGCAACCACACAGGCAGTGCCAGTAGTGTAACTGCACAGGCAATGTCAGCGGTGTAACCACAAAGGCAGCGTCAGTAGTGTCACCACAAAGGCAGTGTAACTAGTACAATTTTGTAGGCAGCATCTGCAGTGTGGCCACACATACAGTGTCAGCAGTATATCCACAAAGGCAGTGCCGTTTGCATAACCTTACAGTCAGTGTCAGTAGTATAATCTTATAGGCATTGTCAGTTGTGTAACTTCGCAAGCAGGGTCAGTAGCATAATCTCATGGGCAGTGTCAGTTGTGTAACCACAAAGGAAGTGTCAGACGTGTAACCACCTAGGCAGTATCAGTAATTTAAGTGCACAGACAGTGTCAGCAGTGTACCACAAAGGCAGTGTCAGTAGTGCAAACTTGCAGGCAGAGTCTGTAGTGTCACCACAAAGGCAGTGCCAGACGCATAACTGTACAGGCAGTGATACCCTGCGTTCACAATAGCAGGCAGCAAGTCGTGTACATTGCCCCAAGGTTGTCTCTTGTGGGTGTGTTCAAGGCCACTCATGTCGTCGCGTGTGGGAGTACACATGGTCCAGCTTCCGACAAGAAATGTAATAGCCAAAACAAATACTATCTATGTATTGATATTTTTTTTCAAAGTTATGCAATATTTATCATTAATAACTAAATTTAAAATAAATGGTTTTAAACTAGATGTGGGTAACAGTCTAATTTTTGTTTTATATTTTATTAAACACTGACCATCTAATCACTACTATTCCTGGTCAGTGGTGTAACCACACAGTATCAGTATTGTCACTGCACAGATAGCATCAGTATTATATGCTGAAAGGCAGAGTCAGTGGTGTAACCATACGGACAGTATCGTACACAATGTCAGTGGTGTAACCATAAACTGTAAACCCGAACACACAGTAAACACTATAGTGAGGCGCTTGGGTTCAGGACTTGAAGCAGAGGCACAGCGGAGGCTCCTCTCTGTCCCACTGCAGAGAATATTATTTTTCCATTAACCATGAGTCATTCTGATAATAAGCACAATGTCAGTCCAGCAGAGAGAACGAGAGCATGAAAATTGATGTGAATGGTGACCACGAGCAGAAGGAAATGTGGAGGCGTCACTCACCGCATTCAGGGGACTCGTCTGAACCGTCTCCACAGTCGTCATCGTGGTCGCACACGAAACTCTGTGGAACACAGAGCTGATTCCGACAACGAAAAGAACCCTCGGAACAGGTGTGATTCTGAGCTGATAGAGGAAAAAGAGAGAGAGGACGTTCTGAATGACATTCCAGAGAAGATGATGAGTGTGAATTAGTCCAGATGACGGATAGAATGATAAGATGATTTACATTATCTATCAAAAAGAGATGCATTAAAGGAGAAAACAGAAGGTCAGATAATGTACATATCTGGTATGCATGTTACGTTCACATATTGGCGGCTGACAGACGGCAGCACAACAGATATTCCACTGATTTGAGACACCGCTACTGGCAGCATTCCACTATTCTGAATGTTCTGTCAAGAATTCAGTTTTCCCAAATTTTGCCAACAACCACAACAGTAAAATAAACTTGTGTTGATTTTTTTGAGTCATGAACGCTGAACATCTCATTGTTGCCTTATCTTAGCTTACATGAGGAGCTGACATTGCTAAATCTCTTCTCTGATAATCATTTATGGCAACATTTGTATTCTGTTTGTCAGTCATGTACCAGAATGACAGGATTTTCAGCGCCAGCATGTTCACGCAGCATCAGTAATGTAACTGCACAGACAGTGTCAGCAGTGTAACCACAAAGGCAGTGTCAGTATTGTAACCATACAGGCAGAATCAGTAGTGTGACCTTGCAGGCAGTGTCTGTAGTGTAACCATAAAGGCAGTGTCAGCAGTGCGACCTTGCAGGCAATGTCTGCAGTGTAACCACAAAGGCAGTGTCAGTAGTGTAACCATAAAGGCAGTGTCAGCAGTGCAACCTGGCGGGCAGTGTCTATAGTGTCAACAAAAAGTCAGTGACAGTTGTGCAACTGTACAGACAGTGTCAGTAGTGTAACCACAAAGGCAGTATCAGTAGTGTAACCATGCAGGCCGTGTCAGTAGTGCCAATTTGCAGGCAGTGTCTGTAGTGTAACCACAAAGGCAGTGTCAGTAGTGTAACCATACAGGCAGTATCAGTAGTGCGACCTTGCAGGCAGTGTCTGCAGTGTAACCACAGAGGCAGTGTCAGTAGTGTAACCATAAAGTCAGTGTCAGCAGTGCGACCCTGCAGGCAGTGTCTGTGGTGTAACCACAAAGGCAGTGTCAGTAGTGTAACCATAAAGGCAGTGTCAGCAGTGCAACCTTGCGGGCAGTGTCTATAGTGTCAACAAAAAGTCAGTGACAGTTGTGCAACTGTACAGACAGTGTCAGTAGTGTAACCACAAAGGCAGTATCAGTAGTGTAACTATGCAGGCGGTGTCAGTAGTGCCAATTTGCAGGCAGTGTCGATAGCGTAACCACAAAGGCGGTGTTAGTGGTGTAAACATACAGGCGGTGTCAGTAGTGCAACCTTGCAGGCAGTGTCTGTAGTGTAACCACAAAGGCAGTGTTAGTAGTATAAACATACAGGCGGTGTCAGTAGTGCAACCTTGCAGGCAGTGTTAGTAGTATAAACATACAGGCGGTGTCAGTAGTGCAACTATACAGGCGGTGTCAGTAGTACGACCTTGCAGGCAGTGTCTATATTGTCACCACAAAGGCAGTGCCAGTTGTGTGACTGTACAGGCAGTGTTACCCTGCGTTCACATAAGCAGGCATATGTTGCCCCAAGTTACAAGTCACACAGCATAAACAATGCTTTGATATGGAACTTCTGTGCTGATACGATAACCGATGATTAATATCTCGGTGTTAATAGCATGGATGATACCGATATTCTGTCATATAAGACTCTAAAAAGCACAGCCATGACACAGTGAACTTCACCATTCTTGATAGAATTATAAACATTTACATTATTTTATGCATATACTGTAGGGTGTTCACAAAATGCTCAGCGTCTTAAATTTACAGCGACACTTTCCTAGCGTAATAATCTTCTGGATTATTTTACAAGGACTCTTATTTTGAAGGTGAGTCAGGCTGCTTCTGGGTTCCCTTAGAGCAAGTACAGTCTTCTTCTGACCGCCGAACAAGTAACTTAATGTAGCTAAGCCTAGAGAGAATTGTTAGCAAAAAAACATGGGCGTGGCTGTGGCCAAATACAGCACAACAACTCATGTCTTTGTCGTGTCTTCTTCAGTAGCGTCCTCACTTTGAACCACTGACAAAATGAACCTGTTAAATGGCCAGGCTCCACCGGCAGGCCCAAAGTTCTATTACACACTATAACTTAAGAATAGCTCAGCCAGAATATAGTTACAGTTTCTAGGCTATGAAGGACCAACTGGGTGAACCAGTCTGCTACAGCGCCACCCTGAGGCAGAGCAGTGCTGCAGCTCTAGTCAGTAATATACTAATAGACAGCATATTGTTATGATGAGTTTATTTTCAGGGAGCCTTCAGAATTCTGTTTTGGAGACGTTAAGGGGGGGCAGGTTGGCACAGTGGGCAGAGGTGATGCCTCACAGCAAGAAGGGTTCGATTCCCCGGCCGGGGTACCCGGGGTTCTCTCTGTGTGGAGTGTTCGTGTTCTCCCCCTGTCTGTGTGGGTCCTTCCACAGTCCAAAAACATGCAGTCAGGCTAATTAGAGATGCTAAATTGCCCCTTGGTGTGAATGTGTGTATGTCTGCCCTATGATGGACTGGCGACCTGTCCGGGGTTTTCCCCGCCTTCCGCCCAATGAGTACGGGGATGGGCACCAGCACCCCCCAGAACCCAGGAGGAGGATGTTCAGGGGGTCCAACAGGGTAATCAGAGGTTCCTGGACCCACCTTGGTTATAATTATCAACTGTAATTCAAATATAAGTCCAATAAAAATTGATCCCCAGGATCTGCTGATGATATATAAGAATGAGCTGGACGTTAGTGGACATTACCACAGCCGGCCGCTCCGAGCTCGTCACTGCCATCGGGACAGTCTCTCTCTCCATCACACAGCCACCGGCGCGACACGCAGGCATACGACCCAGGACAGCTGAACAGACCTGCAGCACACGTGACTGAGTCTGAGAGAGAGAGAGAGAGAGAGAGAGAGAGAGAGAGAGAGAGAGAGAGAGAGAGAGAGAGAGAGAGAGAGAGAGAGAGGGAGAGAGAGAGAGAGAGAGTACAGAACAAAATTACATCACACTTGTTCATTCTCTCCTTCACTCATTCATTCACAGCTCTTTCACTCCTTCATGCTTTCATTACCTCTCTCACTCAATCACTCCCTTATTCATTTCCTACATCACTCATTCATTCACTCTCTCCCTCACTCACTCCTTCACGCCTCTCTCACTCACTCATTCACTCCTTTCTGGAGTCATTTACTCCCTCCCTCACTCATTCTTTCACTCCTCCCTCAAACATTCATTCATTCACCCCCTTCCCTTACTCTTTCATTCACCCCTCCCTCACTCATTCATTCAACCCTCCCTCAAACATTTATTCATTCACTCCCTCCTTCATTCACCCTCCCCCAAACATTCATTCATTCACACCCTCCCTTACTCATTCATTCACTCCCTCCCTCACTAATTCATTCATTCAACTCCCTCACTCATTCATTCACTCATTTATTTACCCCTCCCTCACTCATTTACTCATTTATTCGCCCCCTCCCTCACTCATTCATTCACACCTCGCTCACTCATTCATTCACCCCTCCCTCACTCATTCATTCACTCCCTTCCTCACTCATTCACCCCCTTACTCACTCATTCTTTCATTCAACTCCTCCATCACTCATTCATTCACTCCCTTCCTCACTCATTCACCCCTCCCTCACTCATTCATTCACTCCCTTCCTCACTCATTCACCCCCTCATTCCCTCATTGTACAGAACTGCTCTGCTCCTGCAGGAAAAGCAGAGTTGTTTTATATTGAACTGGTTTAAAGTCTGTGTGAGTTTGACCTTCTCCTGCGCTCTGTGTGTGAAGTCTGGCTATAAATCCACAGCAGCCGTGAAATAATCTGCTTCAGAGACACTAAACTGTTTTTCTGCCGCCTCCTTTCATGTTGATTGATCTTCCTCCACCTGGAGAAATCACACATCAATTCCACTCGGCGATACACGGAATTCAGCGGGAAGAGAAGAAGCTTTACCGCAGATCCCCGGGTCTTCGTCAGCTCCGTCACCGCAGTCGTCCTCCCCGTCACAAACCCACTGCCGGGAGATACATCTGCTCCTGGAGCAGGAGAACTGATCCCACAGACAGGACGAGTCTGGAGGAGAGAGAGACAGCAGGACGATTAATGCGGAAGCACAACACTGTGTTTTCTCTGGAGCTCAGGATTTTCACCACAGGCACAAACTTTCGGAGTGAAAATAATTTAACACATCATCTACAGAGAGCACACGTACGTTTGAGTGCAGTTTAAGTACATAGTGGGAAAAAAATGTTTTCCTTGATGTGTTAAATTCAGTAAATAAACAGTAATCGTGCATTAAAATGCCCAAGTGGTGCATTGGTTTACATACATAATGCACAGTAATTTACTAGCAACAAGAACAGGTACTGTAAATTAACAGTAAATAGTAACTGTAAACAATATTAAATTGTATATTTACAGTTATTTTCATCTGGGAATTCAATAAAACATTTGACCAGGGGGGCTCATTCACTAGACTTTGTGGTCAATATAAACTGAAGGAGAGCAGAGTAATAAGCTTAAAGTTTCTTAGCGATATCACTGACGTAAAACTCAAATGATAAACCAGCATCCAGTGTTACAACAAGATCTTTAACTGCAAAGAAACTAAGCTGGATTAGCCCTTTCAGCCCTCCTTCCAAAGCCTCTACCCCCCAAAAAACTACGAACATATACACACAGATTATATACAAGATAAACATAGCTAGCTAGCTTACACCCACATCTTAGCAAAGAAAGATTAGCACTGAACTAATACACAATGTAGCTACATAAGCAGCCAGCTACACTGGCTCCATAATCCAGGAATATATCAAATTCCCCCATAAACAAAACAAACCAGATAATTACCAGTCCAACAGAAAAATAGCAGCCTTGGTGTCACTTTTCAGCCTTTCAGGGCCGCTGCATGCTTTGCAGGTGCAATTAGGAGTGTATGAGCATACAGGGCTGACCAGCTCTGGCTGGAAAGCAGCACCGATGGACACTCTGGTTTGACCTCTTGCTTCATCCAACCTCTTTTTGTTAGAAGCCTTTTCTACTTTTGTCTTTCTTTTCTTTCTTTCTTTAGCAGTGTGAGCTGTCGTAGGTACCCATGTAACTTTCTCTGCCATTTATGTGAACCTAGCTTGCTACCTTTCAAGCTGTTTGTGTGTGTAGTATGTCAGAATCCACATGTGCAAATAAGTACCCACGCAGAGCACACATGTAGGCAGGTCAGGCAGGTAGGCCATTCGGTCTGAATGAGATGACTGGACAGGGTTTTTACAGTTCTGTAGCCCCCACAGTGAACTATTTCTCATTGTCAGACCATTTGATTTATTGATTGCTATCAGGATGTAAAGAATATTTCAAGAAATAACAAAATATTTTTCTAAAATAAATCGTCTACTCCAGCTTTAACGTCAAGGGTAAAATCTGCCACCTTATTTTGGGCTGATGTCAGACCCAGCAGTGATACCTCTGTTTAATAGAAGGACATTCCTGGTCATGGCTTTTAACACAATCTTTCAATGTGTGTAACTGAGCATCATAAGCATAAAGTTGAAATTTAACACTGCGTTTATGGATTATGTATCCTCGATCTGTAAAAAAGCGAAAACAGTAATGGCCCTAAAACAGAGCCTTGAGGGACGCCGTATTGCACACCTCCATGTTCAGACAACTTCTCGTTTTACACTGACAAACTGCCAAGACCTAAACTAGGAAAGAAGAGGTCAGAAACAGAGGGAGTGAAGGAGAGGGGGGGGGAGATAGATGATGACTCATTTCTGATGGTAAACTTTTAACTTTTTCTTGTTTTTCTTCCTCTTTCACGTTGATTGATCTCTGTCTCCATCTGATCAATTTCAGAAAGAAAGGCCGATTCAGAGAAAGAGATAAAAGCAGCAAGGGAGAGAGATAGTGGATATTTTCCACCAACAAAGTTGCATAACCTGTCTTAATCCATAAAAAAAGAAAAAAAAAAGAAAAGAAAATGGGAAATATTGGAAAACAAAATGAAGGAGGAGGAACAAGGGGGCTTCCGTTACTCAGCACGGCTTCAGAGAATCTAAAATCCACATCTGATCACCGCAGGACACCCCCCCCAACCTTCAAAAACCAACTACATTTCCCATAATCCCCTTTATAAACACTGCTCTAGCGACTGCCTCAGCTGTGAGGCCCCTCTGTGTGATATAACACAGCTGTGTCTCCACAGCCGCAATATAAGAGATAAAAGAAGCAATAAAAGAGATTATTTTTATTGTTCTTAGAGGCAGCTGTGAAAGAAAGTGATAAATGTGAGAAGGTTCGGCTGTTCTGGAGAAAAACAATCCGAGCAAAACCCCAAAATCGCTCCCTACTGCGTATATAGGGCACTATCTACTGCCTGGCCACTTTATCAGAAACCCCTCCCTTACAGTTCCATGAAGGAAGTTTCACAAGTCAAAAAAGTAGAAATCATATTTAATAGAAAATTCCCCAGAAACCTCAACAACTACATCCAATCTCAGGTGTCTGAGTGTTCAGTGTGTCATTCTACCTTTATTCCAGTTTCTATTTTAGCACATTCAGGAGCTTTAAGGTCATTTAGAGCTTTAAACTCTCTCTAAAAGATCCAGGCGGTCAGTGCAGTGTGTAAACGGGGTGATATGAGCTCTCTGTGTTGGTGCTGTGAGGATCCGTGCTGCTGTGTTCTGTACGGGTTCTAGAGGATGGACTGTTTTCTCCAGTAAGGAGATCATTACAGTGATCAACTCTGCTGAACAAATGCAGCTACAAGTTTCTTTGAGAGAGAAAAGAACTTTAGTGATTTTCTCGCATGATGAAAGCTGCTTTAGTGACCGTGTTTACATGCAGATTAAACAGAGCTCAGAGTCTAAGATCACACCCAGGTTTCTGCTGCAGGTTTGGTAAATGAAGATAAAGAGTCGAATTTCAGTATTTCAGGTTTTCCATCATTTAGGTGTAGAACATTTTGAGACATGCACTGAGACTGAACATCTTCTTTGAATCCATACTACTCGCCCATACACTGCTGAAGCTGTAGCCCTCGTTGAGCTCACTCTGAAAGCTCTCCTACAGTCTCATTCATAAACATGTAATGTGTAAATCTCAAACGTGTCCACTAGTGGCCGCTAGAGAAAAGAGATCATAGCTCACCACACTGAAGCTCGTCCGCTCCATCCTCACAGTCTTTCTGACCGTCACACAGCCAGCGGGTGGAGATGCAGTGGCCGCTGGGACACGCAAAGTGACCGTCTGCACACACCTGACTTTTGGAGGCTGAGAGGGGTCAGGAGAAAAAACAAGGTCATGGGTCAATCGGGCACATTTCACAGACATTTGATAGGCATTTTGGAAGTACTTCGTTTTCCTTTGCTATGCCTCATCTGTATGTGTGAACAGAGGCTGGTGGACAGTGACTCATTCATATTCATGTTCAATAAGTCAACATTCCTCACAAGACTGCTGCTTCTCCATGAAGTCCAATTTTACCCTTAGCGAAGGCTGGAGACACCTGCAGTACCTTGGACATTCTTGGAAAGCTGACCTCAAAGTGACCATCAGGTCCAGATTAAGACCTTTTGGTGCCCCTGAGTGGTAAAGCCACAGTGCCCTATCCCCACAAATCTACTTATTGAAGTTTTTAACAATAATTGATAATTGATAATAAAGTGAGGTGGTTCTGCTTAAGTTTAGCTGGTTCTAATCTGAACCAGAGTTAGTTCTTCAGCTAAGGCCTTGTAAAGATACCAATGAGAGGGCATGAACTCCCCCTCGAAGATCATTAATGCACGCCAAAATGAAAACGATCCCACATAGATGTCAATGTCCATCAAATTTACGCAGCAAGTGTGATATTTAAGGGGGGAGGATTAGATTGACTGTTGTGACAGGTGAACAGATTATCAATTTAAAGTAAACCATTCCAAACCATTACTCCTCTGGGGTCTGAGGGTGTTTTCTGGATATGTTTATATCTTCTTAAACTCTCCTCTAAAGGCTCTTCATATATCATGATCCTCATATGTTTCATATCTAAATGCTCCGTTATCTTCATCACTACTTTCCAAAACCGCTGCAGCAGCTTCAGCAGCTGTAAACTCTCTGCACGCCCTTTCACATGAGTCTCCGATGTGGACCGAATGAAGAATGAAGGGTTTCCGGCGTGATGGTCAGTCCTTAGTGATTTCCTGAGTGTCCATTGGTCAGTTTCACACAGAATGTAGATGGACACATGAATCCACCAGTTCCACACGGTGAGAGGCAGATGGCGTGTATCTCAGCCCCTCTTCATAGGCTCATAACTCCGGATGTGAGTCTCGTATGATCTCGAGATAAGATGGAATGGAAAGGGCGACTCTACAGATTCAGGAAGTGTTTGAACTGGATTTCTGAGCTGGATCATCACAAAGATACACAAACAGATATTTCATTTGCAGCCCAGTCAGTCACCTAGTTCACCCAGTTAAGGTAGATCTGGCCATAGTGACCACACTTTCGATCGCATGATGTCCACTGAAGTGAATGTAATTTCATCAAAGAGTCAGGCCTTTAAACTGGGGGGGGAGCAAACTGCTTCTTTCAACACAGGAGGTGAGCCCCCCCCCACCATGTCCCCTGAGACTACCTCGCTGAATATTTTGTGATAATGTTTCCAGACAGGACCAGCCAGAGCTCCAGGATCTACATCTTTAATAAGCCGTGATGCATTCAGCTCGCGTGTGCAGCGCATACAAATCCACGGCTGCTCCACGCTGTTATTCACAACAGCATTCTGTTCCCACAATGGTGCCTGGAAAACAAACAAACAAACAAACAAAGAAACACAGGAGGGATAAACAAAAAACAAAAGCAGGGAGGGGAGCGTACCGCGGCAGCGCGCTTCATCAGAGAAATCTCCGCAGTCATTGGCTCCGTCGCACAGCCAGTGAGGGAGGACACACAGAGAGGTGGAGTTACACCTGAGAAAAGCAGCGCCGCGCTCTCGCACGCCCAGCCTGTGGTAATCCACACAGTCCACATCGCCTGCACACACCACACACACAGCGTCAGACACAAACACACCACTGATTTATGCTTTCTCAGGAATAAAATAGGGTCAAAGAGGTCTCATATATCATTACATCACATATCACCACTATCAGAACAAAACCTCAGATCTCCATTTTGGACATTTTTTCTCTACAAATAATTTGAAAAGTTGTGCTTTACATTGTGTTTAAAACGTCATGATGAACAGACAAACAGAAACAGTTCAAAAGTCCATTTTATATTAACTTCCATTACATGGAAATACGAGTTATTGTTCTGACAGCAAAGTAAGTAAGTTTATGTAATAATAGTCCAAAATGTATTATACATAAACTTCATCCCATATGTATTATATGTATGTAAATACCTCCATTTAATAACAATATTTATTATTATTGCAATTTATCTCTATTTAATTAAAACTAATAATAATAATAATAATAATAATAATAATAATAATAGCAATAAATTTTAATGCAAGTCAATGGAACCAGAATTTTTTCCATCTCATTTTGGGTCATTTTTTTGGTCCATTCATCATGAAATTTACACACAATGTAAAGAACAACAGGCTTTTTTAAATTATGCCAAGAAATAAAAATCATTTAACAGAAATTTGGCCTCTAAGTAACATAAAATTCATCACTATTTAATTCATCAACTCCCAAAAAAACTTCCCAAACAATTCCCACATTACATTCCCCTTCAAACACACACCATCATTCACACAACCAGCTTCCCAAACTCACTTTAGGAAAAGCAAATAATACAAGAAGATTTGCATTAAAACACTAAAACTACGTCTGAGACGTGGAGTAGGTCTTAATGTACAGGTGAGTCAGTCAGCCGTGGCTGGGCTCACTCAGGTCAGCCAACCAGCTTCTAAGACTGAACTTTGGAGGTGTGTCTGCAGAGTCTTTGAGGAACTGAAAGTGAGGCTCCTGAAGCTGGAATGAAGGTGAAGAGTGACTCACTGACACTCTGAGATTAGACTTAGTTGATTGTAATTTTCTGCTTTTTCTGATGCTGAAAATGAGTAACGTGTATTTATCGATCATTTTTAGCAGAAATGAACTAAATGACGAGTGACCTTTGCTCAGCACTGTGTAGTAAACGTCTATATGTAATAATAATATGTACCATATGTATGATGTGTGTAGAAGTACCTCTAACCCCAAACCCAACCAGCACCCACACACACAAGCTGCTCTTACTGCAGTTCCTCTCGTCAGAAGCGTCGGCGCAGTCGATGATCTGATTGCACCAGGCCGCCTGCGGCACACACACCCCGTCGGCACAGCGCCGCTCTGCAGCCGAGCACGAGGAACCTGAAACACACAGGCAGCTAGAACAGTCACACTTACAAAAGATGCTTCTTCAAGGGTCCTTTAGGAAAGGCAACAGTTGCATTTAGAACTATGAAGTCTGAGAACATTGTTCTTCAGAGTGATGGAGAATGTGTTGTATATGGTTCTACATAGCACCAAAAAGGGTTCTTCTATCATGTCTATGTCAAGCTTGTAACAACTGAAGAACCCTTGTGGTGCTATATAGAACCATTCTCAAAAGGTTCCACAAAGAACCATATAGTGCACCTTCTCCATCAACCTGAAGAGCCATTTCACCATGCAGAGAACCATTTAATCACACTTAAAAAAGATGGTTCTTCAAGGGTTCTTTGGTAAAGACAATGGTTCTATATAGAACCGTTAACACTCAAAGAAGCCTTTGCATGATTAAATGGTTCTTTGCATGGTGAAAGGCTCTTCAGATTGATGGAGGACGGGTTCTTCTATCGTTACAAGCTTGACATCCTAACTATAGCGGAACACTGTTTGGTGTTGAATAGAACCATCTACAGCACACTCTACATCAAACTGCATTTCACCATGTATAGAACCACTTAGAGGAGTTCTTTGAGTGTTCACGGTTGTATACAGAACCATTTTCTTTACTGAAGAGCCCTTGAAGAACCATCTTTTTAAAGAGTGTACTAATGCCCAATCAAATCCTCATAGTAACGTTCCATCATCTACACACTTAAAAAAGATGGTTCTTCAAGGATTCCTTAGTAAAGAAAATGGTTCTATATAGAACCTTGAACACTCAAAGAGCCCTTTACATGATTAAAGGGTTTTCTGCATCATGAAATGGTTCTTCAGATTGATGGAGAACGTGCTGTAGATGGTTCTATAGGAAACCAAAAAGGGTTCTTCTGTTGTTACAATGGAAGAACCCTTTTTGGTTCTATGTAAAACTCTTTTTTTTTACTAAAGAACCCTTGATGAACATTTTATACACATTAGTTTCGGCTGTTTTAGTGAATGATATTGAATTTTATAATCTTCAAATAAGCGTCCCTCTGCTTTAGAGCCCTAACCTGACATAACCACTCCTGTAGTAGTGCGAGAACCACAGCGTGGGGGGGTCGGAGGGGGGTTGGGTTCCCACCAGAACTTGATTTTTCCCACAGGTTTAAATTGCTTGAGTCAAATTGACCCTACAGATAAGAGATGTTAGTCAATTTGAGAGTAACAGGAGGGTTAAATGGTTCTCTGCATGGTGAAAAGGTTCTTCAGAATGATGGGGAATGTGCAGTACATGGTTCTCTAAGGAACTTTTTTGAAAAGTGTTCTATATAAGCATAAAGGATTCTTCTATTGTTACGATGTCAAGCTTGTTACAGCAGAAGAGTGCTTTTTGGTTCTATATAGAATCCTTTTCTTGACTAAAGAACCCTTGAAGAACCATCTTAAACCATCTTGTAAAGCCTTAATTCCAGATGAGTCTACCAACTTTTAGATGTAGATCAGAACCCACGAACTGGATTATGTGGCCTGAATCTGAATCAGGGCGGCCCATTCTGGGACCGTGTACAGTTAAGGTGAATCTACTCAGGCTGCCGCTCACGCAGTGTCACACTGACTGACCGATTCTGCCCAATTCTGTATATATGAGCTGGCACATGTCCACAGTTGTCCAGCAGTGCTACAGAAGGACAGCAGACAGAAACGAAGCCACACTTTCCACCCAGTGAACAGCAGCGCCAATTAGGCTCCGGCCCTCCTGGCCACGGACTTGGGCTTCAAGCCTGCGTTCAACACGCAACACTCTTACCCAGTTGCAGCACTCGGAGTCGTTCTGTTCACTGATTCCTGTAGCTGGTGGACTTTTCCCTGAGGCTGGAGCTCGGAGTCAGGAAGGAAAGGCAGTGGTGGGGCTGCATGATGAGTGCTCTCTGTATTATTAATGCATTTTAGCTTAGAAACTTCAATATTTACCTTTTTGTTGTTGTTTATTTTTCCAATGAGATCCACTTATGACATTTGTATCAGTTTACACACAAAAAACAGTCACGGTTCAGTTTTAGTTTTACTTTCTTTATTCTGTAGAATTAAACAGGCTGTTTAAGTTACTGTGCTGCTAGGACTGATATATGTAAATGACCTCTGTTCTGATTGGCTGCCCTTCATGGTGCTTCATTCAAAACAATATACTTTGGATGTGTGGATCCTTTGGAATTTTCCATTTCTTTCCTGACAGCCAGGAACAGCACAACGTTTAATCGTTTTCGCACAACATCCAGCCCAATATCTCTGCTACAGACTGAATGGTGGGGCTAAACTGCTGTAGCTGAATGGTGGAGCTAAACTACTGTAGCTGAATGGTGGGGCTAAACTGCTGTAGACTGAATGGTGGAGCTAAACTGCTGTAGGCTGAATGGTGTGGCTAAACTGCTGTAGCTGAATGGTGTGGCTAAACTGCTGTAGGCTGAATGGGTGTGGCTAACCTGGTGTAGGTGGGATGTGTGGGGCTAAACTGGGGGCTGAATGGGTGGAGCTAAACTGAGGGGCTGAATGGGTGGGGCTAAACTGGGGAAAGAATGGGCAGGGCTAAACTGAAGGCTTAGTGGGTGGGGCTAAACTGCTGTAGGATGAATAGGTGGGGCTAAACTGTAGGCAGAATGGGTGGGGCTAAACTGTAGGCTGAATGGTGGGGCTAAACTGTAGGCAGAATGGGTGGGGCTAAACTGTAGGCAGAATGGGTGGGGCTAAACTGTAGGTTGAATGGTGGGGCTAAACTGTAGGCAGAATGGGTGGGGCTAAACTGAAGGCTGAGTGGGTGGGGCTAAACTGTAGGCAGAATAGGTGAGGCGAAACTGTAGGCTGAATGGGTGGGGCTAAACTGTAGGCTAAATGGGTGGGGCTAAACTGTAGGCTAAATGGGCTGGGCTAAAAACTGAAACGTTAACATTGCTTCCATACTGTGCGTAGCTCTTATTTAAAACAGTGAGATTTATCTGTTTCTTCATGTAAGATTCAGTAATCATGATGATGGTTATGAACTCACTGTTGCAGAAGACTTCATCTGAATTATCGCCGCAGTCATCCACGCCGTCACAGAAGCGAGAGCTGGACACACAGCGCTGGTTATAACAGGGCTTATAACCACTCCTACAGTTACGGTTATCTGCAGAGGACGAGGAGCAGAAATGTTAGATTCAAGCGTATTTATCTGCATATGTTGGTGACTTCTTGCAGCTGTTGTTACTGTTGAGATGCAAAAGATCCACATTAATCTAAACCAGCTTCAGACACAACTGAGGAGATTCATTCAGTCTGTCAAACTGCATCCTGAACAATATCCATTCATACAAGCGCAGTAAATTATGGGCAAAAGTAAAGTTATTTCTCTCTTTTAGAACAGTTTTCACTCACAATTACTTGTCGTCAGTTTCCGTCTTGCTCTCCTGGCAGGCCGAGGGCTTGAGTTTGAAATATTTGACAGGAATAATCTGATCCATTTTTAGTTCTGGTTCATTTCAGAAAGCATTTCTCAAATATCTGAGCGCTTTAAACTTCACATTTGAGATTCTCATAGCATCCAACCTTCAGCAGATGCTGGTCTTCCTTTACCTCTGGTTTAGACAGCTGATAACACAACTATTCTGTTTTTTAATTGGTTTATTGTTGACAGTATCTATTCCAGAATAACATCCTGACTTCATAATCTGATCATTAACTCCAGATAAGAAAACAGCATCACACAAACATCCTAACTAGACTAAACCTCCTAAATCCTGTCCTAACTTTAGGATGAACCCCAACAGGGTCCTCACTTCTGCATAGTTCACTACCAGCATAATGAGCTCCATTTATTTCTACTGTAAAACGCTGCTTTCACTGTGAGATGATTTTCTTTTCTAACTAACTCTGCTGTTTATCAGAGCGTCGCCGCTCCCCAGTTTCAGTCTCCATTTCCCAAACGCTTTAGCCGAGCGCGCTAACGTTACTCCTCCTAATAATCAGACACACGTTCAGCTCCGCCTCCTCATTATTCACCACCATCACTGTAATATTTCATCATCAACATTAACACACGAAGGTAATCAGAGGGGCGGTGGAGATCGAGTCTGCAGCATCTGAGATCTTTAAAACGCAGAGTTAGAAAAGAAAATCATCTCACAGTGAAAGCAGCGTTTTACAGTAGAGATAAATGGAGCTCATTATGCTGGTAGTGAACTATGCTGCTGAGACAGCTGCCTAAAAACCATAGAAACGGACCTTAAACAGAAGTGAGGACCCTGTTGGGGTTCATCCTAAAGTTAGGACAGGATTTAGGAGGTTTAGTCGAGTTAGGATGTTTGTGTGATGCTGTTTTCTTATCTGGAGTTCATGATGAGATTATGAAGTCAGGATGTTATTCTGGAATAGCTACTGTCCTGAATTCAGTCGTCATGGAGACTAAACAGATCAGATTTCAGAGTTAGGAAGTTTCTATAATACGGCTCCAGGTCCAGAACATAAATTCACCTTTTTGTGCTCATGGAATCATCGCTGAGCCACTCTGGCAGAGCCTGAGTGTTTCTGCTGTTTGCTAAAATTCAACCTGAACAAAATCTTTTAGAACCCTTGAGCTTCGCGCTCTGTCTTCCTCAAAGTTCTCAAAACAGAATCTGTAATGCAAGTTTGGTCCAAAGTCTGGAGGCTCATTATTCAGCACCTACTGTGAATTATTCAGTAACTACTATGAAACGAATGTGCAAGTGCTGCTGAAATTAGAGTGAGGGAACTGAAGTGTGGACCCCCATACGGACCCCTAGAGTTTAATGGTTGAAAGACCCCGAGCTAGTGCGTGCTTCGTCTTTTCTTAACTGTCAAAACTGCATTTGTAATGCAGGTGCAGACGGTGCGATGTGGTACAACGGGAACGGCTGGGTGGAAGACGCCGGAAAAGGGCAGGGGAAGGTTTGCACATGCATTATTAATGACAGGAGGAAGCGGAATCCTGCAGGAGGCCGCGGGCATTTCCTGGCCCGAGGAACGGCAGACAGAGGCTTCCAGAAACAGATGTTCGCATTATGATGACTCTCAGGCTATTGTCTCTGACTACCGGCTCCAAACGGGAGCCAAAAACTGCAGGCCTCGCTGCAGGGGGGAGCTTTTTAAGGCTGCTGCTTTGTGAGGTTGAGACACTGCAGGTTTAAAATGCTGGGATCAAAATGCATATCTTTTGCCTCTGGGGCGAAACAAAACCAGCCGTGTGACGACGCCTCCCTCGCGATAGGAGTCCAGACTGCATTAGTGTCTCTCCAGCTTTTCCTTTCTCTCTCTGAGCTTCTCCAGATGTACATTATAGCTCAAAATATGGAAGCAGGAAGTTTTTCAGTTATTTACATTGAACCTTAGATACATAGAACTACTGCCAATGATTTAGCAACAACTTTGAAACCCAATAATGTGTCATTTCTTTACATTTTAAAGGCGACGGATTGACTCTTTAGATCCCTTAAAATGCACCAGTGCCTCTTTCGCAACAATTTCTTGCAGTGAAATTTTTTTATTTCCCTCTGAGCATCCTGGAACGGGAGGATCTGATGGATCGGAGTAGAGCGACACTAACACTGTGCAGAAGAATCAGCAGGACCTTTCTGTCTACGTTCATTTTTACCCAGTTAAAGGCGCAGTAAGCAATATAAATCAATATTCAAAACAAACAGAGTGTCTCAGACTGAACAACACAACACTCTTCTAGCCAATCAGCAACAGGGGGCGCTTGTGCTCGTGCACAGGACAGGGGAAGGGGAGGGGCTACATACTGAACTCCCCGCATTGTCATGAGGAAGAGATGGCCGAGTAACAGCTAAAGAGGAGAAGATCTGAAGAACCAGACTGAGAAAGAGGTTCTTAGATCAGGCGAAGGCGTTTCAGAGATGACGAGGCTAAAGCCAGCTTCTTGTTCAAATTTTCTGTTCCACCTTAAATGGTGCAGCAGTTATTATTATAAAGCCTGAGGCACCACAATGTAACTGCTGCACCATTTAAGGTGGTGCGGAAAAAATTCGAACAAGAAGCTGGCAAAAAAGAAGACGCCTTCAGCTTCATCGAGTGTTGAAAGGTATGAAAAGGGATGAGGAGGTCGCTCTGATTCTGCTTGACAGGTCTTGTTTGCTAATGTCTGTGATAGCTAATCCCAACTGTTTAGCTTTGCAGCCTAGCTAACGTTAGCTACAGTGCTTGCTGTGTGGTTGTTCACTCTAACACTACGTCATGGTATTTGTCCGTATAATGTTTGTGAAGGGCATTGTTTACCTTGGCAATGCATGTCCATGAATTTGGGGGCGGAGCTTCTAAAGAAGCACTGAATTGGCTTTGCTGTTGAGTTCAAATATCAAGTCATTCTCCAGGATCGCTTACTGCACCTTTAAGGCTGCTTCCATACTTTTGGCCATCGCTAACAAATATTAATGAAAAACTACAATTCACTGTTAATCCCAGAATGCCGTTCTCACCGCAGTACTGCCTCTTCTCGTCTGATTTGTCTTTGCAGTGTGGGATGCCATCACAGGTCAGCTGGTAGTCGATGCATCCTCCGTTTCCACACTCAAACTCCGAGTGGACGTTACAGGACGAGTTCACCGCTAAGAGAGGAGAAGGACGGAGATCAGAGAGAGTGAGAGCGATACAGCCAGAGCAACTGCAGCATCTACCACCATGGAGATCCTCCAGTAATGTTACACAGATCCCTGAAACTTTTCCCCACTGACATTAAATATCTTCTCTTTAAATTACATATTATTCTCTTTAAATCGTCTTACATATATATCATCCTGTAGCATTAAAATCACCCTGTAACATTAAAAAGTCACCCTGTAACATTATAAATCAGCCTGTAACACTATAAATCACCCTGTAACACTATAAATCACCCTGTAACATTAAAAAGTCACCCTGTAACATTATAAATCAGTCTATAACATTAAAAAGTCACCCTGTAACATTATAAATCAGCCTGTAACATTATAAATCACCCTGTAACATTAAAAAGTCACCCTGTAACATTAAATAGTCACCATGTAAGATTATAAATCAGCCTGTAACACTATAAATCAGCCTGTAACACTATAAATCACCCTGTAACATTAACAAGTCACCCTGTAAGATTATAAATCAGCCTGTAACACCATAAATCACCATGTAACATTAAAAAGTCACCCTGTAACATTATAAATCAGTCTGTAACATTAAAAAGTCACCCTGTAACACTATAAATCACCCTGTAACACTATAAATCAGTCTGTAACACTATAAATCACCTTGTAACATTAAAAAGTCATGCTGTATGATTATAAATCAGTCTGTAACATTAAAAAGTTACCCTGTAAGACTATAAATTAGCCTGTAACACTATAAATCAGCCTGTAACACTATAAATCACCCTGTAACATTAACAAGTCACCCTGTAAGATTATAAATCAGCCCGTAACATTAGAAAGTCACCCTGTAAGATTATAAATCAGCCTGTAACATTAAAAAGTCACCCTGTATGATTAAAAAGTCACCCTGTAAGACTACAAATCAGCGTGTAACATTAAAATTCATTGTATTCCACACTGACTGCCTCTGCGTGACATGAATGATGCGGCAGTGACTCTACAGCTCACGCGATGGCCGTCCATACACAGTGTCTGCGCTGCGGAGCTGATCAGCAGAACTACAGACTGGAAATTCACACTGATCACAACAAAGTCCTATAAATATGACAGAGTCAGCCTCACATCGGCCACAGGTGAAGGAAACTTACACCCCAACAGTTAGCATAGCGCTAACTGCACCATTACATCATCGCCTCAAACCGTGCAGAGCTGATTAATGAACACTTCAGGAATCAGAGAAATGAAGGGAGAAGGAAAGAGAAAGAAAATATGCAACAGAGAGAAAGAAAAGAGAGAAACAGATAGATATAGAACGGTAGATCGAGAAAACTTAAGAGAGAAAAGAAAGGAAAGGAAGAGAGAGAGAGAGAGAGATAAGGAAGTGAATAAACATAGAGAGATATAAAGAGAGAGAGAGATAAGGAAGTGATAAAGATAAACAGATACAGAAAGGTGGATGAAGAGAGAGTGAAAAAGTGAAACGTTAAAGAAACGTAAAGAAAGAAAGAATAGAGTGAAAGGAATGAGACAGAGACAGAGAGATAGATCTTCCGGCCTGAGTAGCGGAGAACGCTTAATAGGTTTTCATTTAATAACAACTACGAATCATATCTGTGGGGTAAAGTGTGCAGCGTCTGGTCCACACATTCAACACATAACATAAATATTACAAGAGTGGGTCACGGGGGGTCTCTCAGACGTGTAAACGAGGAGCGCAGTGTGTGATGGCATCATCTATCAGCCCAATCCAAGCAGTCATTGTATGCAATGCATTGTTTTGTCTTGCTCACTTGGTCACTTGTACTGTGAGGTCCAGTAAACGCAGGCCAGTGAATACAGTATGTGGCACTGGAGGCTCTGGAGGAGCGTTATTTCACCACACTGTCATCATACTCAACTCTCACACATACAGCGTATACGGAAAAGTTCTCCCTGTTAAAGAGCCTCTCCTTCTACAGCGTTAGAGCTGCTGCCCTGTTACCCTGAACACCTGCACATCTCCCACACCTCCCTCACCTCCCTCACAGCCCGCGGCTCCATATCCATAACACACAGCATTCATATTTATAGAGCTGCTCACAGCACGGCCTGCAGACCGACAGCAGCACCCAGCTCACAACACTGTATCAGCTACAATACAGAGACAGAGAGAGAGACAGAGAGAGAGAGAGAGAGAGAGAGAGAGACAGAGAGACAGAGAGAGAGACAGAGAGAGAGAGAGAGAGAGACAGAGGCACAATGCATTCTGTGCACTGTTCATTACAATTCATGCCAATAAAGTTATTTGAATTGAATTGAATTGAATTGACAGAGAGAGAGAGAGAGAGAGAGAGACAGAGAGACAGAGAGCAATACACTATATCTATAAGAACTCAGCGAACGCAGCCTGGCCGTACAGACTGGCCACTACAAGAACACAACACAGACTCAGCGAACGCAGCCTGGCCTTACAGACCGGCCGCTATAAGAACACAGCACAGACTCAGCGAACGCAGCCTGGCCGTACAGACCGGCCGCTATAAGAACACAGCGCAGACTCAGCGAACGCAGCCTGGCCTTACAGACCGGCCGCTATAAGAACACAGCACAGACTCAGCGAACGCAGCCTGGCCGTACAGACCGGCCGCTATAAGAACACAGCGCAGACTCAGCGAACGCAGCCTGGCCGTACAGACCGGCCGCTATAAGAACACAGCGCAGACTCGGCGAACACAGTCTGGCCGTACAGACCGGCCGCTATAAGAACAGTGCATAGACTCAGCAAACGCAGCCTGGCCGTACAGACCGGCCGCTAAATTAAAGAGTTGTTAAACTCTGTAACAGTATAAATGTTAATTTTTTCTTGTTCCTTCGTGACGATGCTTTGGCAAGACTTTAACTAGATATGGTCACATCAATAAAGCATATTGAATTTAATTGAGAGAGAGAGAGAGAGAGAGAGAGAGAGAGAGAGAGAGAGAGAGAGAGAGAGAGAGCGCCTCAGTACCGGTTCAGTAACGCTCTCTCAGCTCAAGTTCCTCACTTGAGGAATTTCACATTTAATTAAAGAACAGAAACTCTGTAAAGCTCTAAAACGCTGAAACACAGTCTGCAGGGCAGAGAGAGTGATAAAGAGTGAAAAACAGAGAGTGAGACGCAGACGCACACACAGAAAGATCGAGGCAGCGCTAACACAGAGAACGTGTGAGAGCGAGAGAATTCACAGGGAAGAGGAGGAGAACAAACAGTAGAGTGAAAAGTTGAGCTGATCAGAGTCGAGTTTGCTGTCTGAACTTTGCTTCTGTAGTTTTAGCGCTGAAGCTACGAGGCTAATGTAGCTAACAAATACCATGGAGCTAACTGCACGATTACATCATCACCTCACACTGTGCAGAGCTGATCAATAAACACACGGGAATTTAACTATTCCTTTGAGAGAGAGAGAGAGAGAGAGAGAGAGAGAGAGAGAAAAGAGAGAGAAAAGAGAGAGAAGAGAGAGAGAGAGAGAGAGAGAGAGAGAGAGAAAAGAGAGAGAGAGAGAGAGAGAAAATAAACAGAAAGAGAGACAGTGGGTAACAACCTCCCCATACCCCCACTCCACTTAGCCACACCCTCCATACCCCCACTCCACTTACCCACACCCTCCATACCCCCACTCCACTTACCCACACCCTCCATACCCCCACTCCACTTAGCCCCACCCTCCACACCCCCACTCCACTTACCCACACCCTCCATACCATACCCCCACTCCACTTACTCACACCCTCCATACCATACCCCCACTCCACTTACCCACACCCTCCATACCCCACTCCACTTACCCCCACCCTCCATACCCCCACTCCACTTACCCACACCCTCCATACCCCCACTCCACTTAGCCCCACCCTCCACACCCCCACCCTCCATACCCCACTCCACTTACCCACACCCTCCATACCCCCACTCCACTTAGCCCCACCCTCCACACCCCCACTCCACTTACCCACACCCTCCATACCCCCACTCCACTTACCCCCACCCTCCATACCCCACTCCACTTAGCCCCACCCTCCACACCCCCACTCCACTTACCCACACCCTCCATACCCCCACTCCACTTACCCCACCCTCCATACCCCCACTCCACTTACCCCCACCCTCCATACCCCACTCCACTTACCCCTACCCTCCACACCCCCTCTCTACTTACCCACACCCTCCATACCCCCACTCCACTTACCCCCACCCTCCATACCCCCACTCCACTTACCCACACCCTCTACACCCCCACTCCACTTACCCCCAACGCTGCAAATGTCATTAGTTTATTAATTAGTATGGTTATAATTATAAACAGTGATAATAATAATACTGTAATATTGTGATTATAATAATTAATATGGTTGTTTATGTTGGTTCTTTTATCTTATTCTGTTTTCATTACTGTTTTTGTTGTTCACTTCTTCTGTTGTGATGCTTTAGCAGTACTGTACCTCACAGTCACGCTAATAAAGCTATTCTGAACTGAACTGAACTGAGATAAAGAAGCGAGAAAGAGAAACAAATATAGAAAGGTGGATCGAGAGAGCAATTAAGAGAGAGTAAACAGTGTGAAACATCAAATAAAGAAAGAAAAGAGATGAGGAAAAGAGAGAGAAACACACACACACACACACACACACACACACACATATATATATATATATATATATATATATAGAGAGAGAGAGAGAGAGAGGGAGAGAGAGATAGAGATAGAGAGAAAGAGCAAGACAGAGAGAGACAGAGAGAGAGAGGGGAGAGAGATAGAGCTGGAGAGAAAGAGCAAGACAGAGAGAGACAGAGAGACAGACAGAGAGAGAGAGAGAGATAGAGATAGAGAGAAAGAGAAAGACAGAGAGAGACAGAGAGAGAGAGGGGAGAGAGAGAGAGAGGGAGAGTGTACGGGACTTACATACACATCTGTTATCATTGAGCAGTATCCGCTCGCCCCTGCAGGCGCAGGTCACCGTGCCGCTCGGGGTCAGCAAGCAGAGGTCATGGCAGCCCCCGTTATTGACACTGCAGGGAGAACCCTCACCTGGACAGAAGAGAACAGAGAACAGTCCTCACAGCCTGAACGTCTGCTGCACTGCAGTGTTACCGGTGTAAAGTGGAACCTTCAGCATCAGCAGCCGCTGGAACGTCCACAGCGCTAATGCCGGTCTATTCCGGTCACTGTAACTGTCCCAGCAGCGGCTGACGCAGGAACCAAACTCACTGTGGAAGAACTCTTCAAAAATGTTCTACATAGAACAGTACAGTACATTCTCCACCAGCCCAAAGAACCATTTCACCATGCAAAGAACCCGTTAATCATGCAGAGGGTTCTTTGAGTACTCATGGTTCCATACAGAATCATTTTCTATATTTCTAAAATATAAATTCAGGAATTTGTCATAAAACAGATTCATCTTTACTTTTTATATCATTAACGTTACACTACATTAAAAAATATGTATTTAAAAATATAAAAATCCATTTCTCTCAGAGATTTTTGTCACTGGTGTTTTCAGGACTCACATTTTAACAGTATTTTCAGCTCTATTAAGCTGCTTCTTTGGGTCGAGGCTCATCAGAGAGGAAGTGTCTCAAGGTATGAGAAGGCGAGTCACACTCGCTCACTATATTTCATTAATTTATTAATAAATTTGTTTATCAGGCAGTTCATAACTTCTATGTGTCACTGGTGTTTTGTGCTTTAATGGCTGAGTCATTAAAATTTTGTCAAAATAATGCCAAATATAATTTTTTTATTACTGATTTTGAATACACACGATCACCTGATCAGCCAACGAGTCAGCCGATTTACAGAATCCTCAGTTTTAACCAGAATGTCACTGGAGTCAGCGTCACTGGAGTTACACCACATTCATACAACAGCAGTGACTGTAGAATATGATTGAATTAAGCTCCTTCCTGCATTTATGATAACAGGAGATGATAATGGACGTATTAAGATTATTTTGCTTTGGGATGATGTTTTAAACATGTATCCACCTGAATTCCCACTTCTAACGGAGACTGACCCGTATATAATAATATGGACCCTTGATGTTCCTCCTGTTTAGGTTAACCGTTTAAGATTCTGGGTGGAACGTTCGGTCTAGAACCTGTGAAAGATGCTTTGCAGTCTGTGTTTGTGTAATTATGTTTCCTCTTTTCTGTAAACACAGCCGAGTTGTGAGTGAGAGATCAGTGTGCAGGTTACTGTTTCCTAACAGCTCCATGTAAGTGGCTGTCGCAGTGAAGAGGAACTGGAAGAAAAAGCTTCTTAGCAGCTTCGTCTCTGGAGTGCCGCTGGAGGATTTGCGCGCTCGGGACTACATGGAGATTTGGACCTCCATGGCTGCCGTCTGCACTATCTGCACCACGCAGACCACTCGCTGCACTCCGCCTGAGCCCCGTGGACGCCGGCATGCAAAACTGAGGAACAGGCCGGCTGTTTGGAGAAGGTGAGTTTTGTTGAAGCACTCAAGAAATGCGCCAATGTTCTCTACAAGAACGCAGTGCTGGGGGTCATGTGGAGCGGTTCTAACAGTCAGGCGCAGAGCTCCAACAGCAATTTGAATGATTACATGATGCATTTGCATGTTTCCGCTGAGCTTCGTGAATTTACAGGTAAGAACTCGGCCGCGGATGTCGTTTCAGTGAGTGGTGCAATTATCACCGCTGTACAAGTGGATAATGGGCACTATAGAGAAAGCGGTAACACCGCAGGACGGCCTGTTCCAACACAAATGACCAGCGCAGGTCTGCGTGCAGAACGGCAGGAGTGACTTCCTCTTCTGAGAAACCCTCACCTGCTTCCTGTTCCACGTGAAATCGAAATGGATGTTTACACTTCATTCATATTTACCTGGAAAATATGGTAACGCCTAGTGGCAACACCAGTGCGCTCAGTGCACCTGTTGCAGCTGAGTACCAGTAAAAGAATTCAGAGCCATTGACCAGCTGTGCTCACACACAGAGAGGTTTGCATCCATGCAGTGAAACACACACACACTAGGGGTCAGTGAGCACACATGCCCGGAGCAGTAGGCAGCGCTCTCCACAGTGGCTGGGGGGCAGTTGGGGGTTAAGTGCCTTGCTCAAGGGCACTTCAGTCCTGTCCTGTCAGCTCAGGGGATTGAATCAGTGACCATCAGGTCACAACACAGTGAAACACAATGCCACATAATGCACTAAAATGCATTGTAGTGTAGTGTCGTAAAATGCAGTGCACTGTGGTGAAATGTAGTGCCCATCATTGTACTGCATTCCACTCCGTTTGACAATACTTGAATATACTCAACACTGTGCTGCATTTCACACTAGTGCAGTGAAATGCAGTGCAGTGTACATTGAAATATTGTGAAATAGAGTGGTGCAATGCAGTGAAGTGAAACACAATTAAGTGTTGTGAAATATAGTGCAATATGGTGCATTCAAATAGAGAGAAATGCAGTGAAACACAATGCCACATAATG